TCCACCTGCTCCTATCTGCCCTTTTCCAAAGTGTCACTTACCAGTGGAAACATGCCCTGTGCGGGGAGGGCCAGGCAGTCATGTAATTGTGTCACACCTTAAATCCCTAAACTGGCGGTCCCTCCTGGATAACAAATAAAATGGAACGGTGACCCTCACCACCAACACCCCACCACCTCCCAGTCCTGGGAGCAAGCAACCTTCTGTTTCACGAGTTTCACGTTTGCTGCCTCCTTAAAAACCGCTTGTGTAGATGTTGCGTGAGCAGGTTGTCAGTCAAGCCGCAGTCCACAGCGAAGCCTTCTTCGTACACCAATTTAAATCATTCATGGTCTTTTCTTTGGCATTATTCAAAAGATCATCATAATTTTCATGTGCCCACAGCACAAAAAAATCAATTATTTCCCCACAAAGACTTGAAAGTACTTAGCGAGTGCGGCAAGAAAAGCTGAGGGTGATATCAAATTGAAATTGCACTCATTACATACAACACAATTAGTTGCCACTAGCCCGGTCGGGCTTTAATTCTGAATGGCATATCTTTATTATTACAGAAACAAGCATGCAAATGGCATTGTTCGGGATTTGCCGAAATCAATAGGATATGGTGCTGTGTGTTTGGTGGCCACTGTCACTCACGCTGCTGTGGATGCGAGATAATGTGTGTGTTTGAATTAATGAAGGGAGCAGGCGACATCATAAGTGACACCCAAATAAAAGAAATGGGTACATGATATTTGTAATTATTCTACTTGTGTTTTTGTTGTAAATACTTGTGCTTTTTGTTTTTTAATCAAAGGATTAATTGCATTTTAATAAGGCATTATGATTTGCAGAGCTTTAGTTAATTAAAACTTGTAGTATATAATTATGAAGTGATGCTGAGATTGTCTAAAGATCACCCATATGTTTAGAATATGTATAGTTTTTCCGCTCTGCAGTTGCAGTCTCTCTCCCCCGTTCCACGCATTTCTCCGTGGTCCCTCCCCTGCCAACAGAAGATATGGATGGTTCATATGAAATGTTGGTGGGACTGGTGATTCCGGGTGGATTTCTCTAAGTGACGGCAAGAATCCAGTTTAGGTTGTTGCACAAATTAACATGACTCTGAAGCAGCACTCACGATACACCATGGCAGAAAACTTTCTTGCTGGCACTTGCTTTTCAGGGAACCCTCCTGAGATGCAGCACTGTAGAGCTTTGGGGAGTTGGTATGAGTCTTGGAGTGCAAACACTGAGATTTGAGACCTGGGGGAGGCAGGGCCATAGACACTTAGACCCCGGTTGGGTCTCTGGGGCTGGGTCCAAATCCCATTGGAACCCGGACCTTGTCCTCCAAAGTCTTCCGAGATGAAGAAGAACTTTTGGGGTGAGCAACTGGTGAGAGAGGGGACGCTGAAAGTCAAGGGAGCTTGGAATTCCTGCGTGTTAACGCATTAGTAATTCACAGTGGAATCCAGCCCAGAGACACGCAATCGCGTCTCCTGTAGGTGTGTATTGTGTGAAGGCTGATGGATTAATTGCTAGATAGATGGAATTGAGCTAAGGTAAAACATTATTAAAAAGTTTAAAAATCTTAATGTAACAGTTTGAAGTTTGCTTTAGGGAATTCTTTCATTTCCATCTCCTACTTTTCCATTCTCTCTGGGATCAGGAGTCTGAGCCGTCGGTGCACAGGGAGGGACCCACTTGGTGAGAGCTCAGGATATTCAGTGTCAGGAACACCACAGGTGGCCCTAGTGGCAGGTGGAGGCAGGAGCTGGTGGCTGGGCTGCATGGGACCCGTGATATAATGGGATGAGCTGACTTCAAAAGGCTAAGCTCCGGTAACCCTTGGGGACCCTTGTTGGCTGGGCACCCAAAGGCTAATTTTTCTCTGAAGACCCAGATGCTGCAATGAGGGGTGTCAGGATGCCCCGCTCCCCACGAGGCCACCTGAGGAAGGATGAAGTGAAAGGAGAGAGGATCCTGAGACATTCATGCCCCACACCTGGTTTTCCAGGAGACCCTCAGTGGTGCTCTGAGTAGGGTGGCCCAAAGCTGATTTAAAATCGAATATTATTAGGTTGGTCATGGCTTCCTATTTTAACTCTGAAAACCTTGAGCTTGAAAAGGTGGTTCATTCAAAGCTTGCTAAAATATTTGCTCAGCAGCACAATGGTGTGTGATGGAAAATAAACTCTTGTGGCTTGCTCCATCCTATCAGCCTCGGCCTGCAGCTGAGAAAGAATGAGGGAAGGTCAGTCAATTATGTGTGGTAATCACTGTAAGCATATTATCTGAGACACAGATGTCTTCCATGACCCCACACGACATGGCTATTAACCCCAGAGCAATATAAAAATGGCGTGGGCTGCGGGGGAGGAGCGGGGGTAAACCAGACTTACAGTCCAGCCTTGTCCACAGACTCAGGGAGGAAAAGTTATGGAGCCGAAGACTATTTTCAGGAGCTCATCCAACTTTGACCCCTGCTCGCCGAGGCAGGGTTGTCGCGCCCCTCCTCCCCGGAGACCTTTCTGCAGGCGGGGTCCTGTGCAGAAGGACTTGCCTCCTGCCACAATGAGACTGGTGAACTGATGTGGGAGGAACCTCAGACATACAGTGGCCCTGGAGTGCTGCCTTCCGTTCACCAGAGGAGAGGAGAGAGGGAAAAGCAACTTGGGTGTTTGTGTGTGTGTTTAAGTTCACCTCTGGGCTTGGGCAGGGAGGACAAATGGGGTCACACAGGCATGTCAGCGTGCCCGACCAGGTTACTCAAGGGACACAGACTGATTGATGGAAGTCAGGGTTCTTACACCCAAAAGGCCTTTGTCCCTCGCCCCCCCCCCAACTCTAGCCCTTATTCTAGCATCTCCCTGGAGAAGTTCATGCCAGAGACTGGCATGGGGCCCGGCACAGGAGCAATGTTCCATAAAAGCTGTTGATGGGTTGTTTACTGGTCTGGGACACACGCACGTCTAGGTCAGTGCCTGCCCGGTGACACACCAGGGACTGAGGGTTCAGAAATAAACAAGCTAGTTCCTGCCCTCCAAGAGGTTAGAGTCTGTGGGAGTGGGGATGGGGAGAAAACCATGAGTGCAAATCAGCATGTGACTCGTGTCAACAAATGTTACAGATGCTGGAGTAGGCCTTCGAAAGGGTTCTAGAGTGAAATGAAGAAGGGACTGTTCTACCCTAGAGATTGGAAAACTTCCTTAGAGAAAGGGATATTTGAGCTGGACAAATACTGAGGAGGGATATATAAACCGATAATAATGACAACTTTGTTTTGAAAGAATTTATCAGAAGCAAGGCATGATCCGGGCCACTTCTTGCCTGTTGTCTAGTTCTCCAACCCTGTAAGCAGTGTTGGACCCACCATGAACTTGAGGCTTAGAAGGATAAGGCTACTTGCTCCTGGTCTCACAGCTGGTTAGTGGTAGAGCTGAGACTGGAATTCAAAGCCAATTGACTGCAAGCTCCACTAACAAGGAGGATGTATTTATCTGTAGGACAAGAGAGGCAGCATTTCCGGGGAAGGGAGATATAAGCAAGGGCGCGCGAGGCACACCCAGGAAGTGCAGGGACAGCTGGGGCTGGGAGCAGGTAGGAGGTGCACAGCCAGGAAGCCAGGCAGACCTGGCCCCGGGGCCCGGTGTCCATGCCACAGAGGGACAGTATGCTCAGATGTGTTTCTGAAAGATTTCTCTCCAAGTCCCAGGGCAAACGAATCGGAGGGGCTGAAGGTCAGTGGCCTGAGGCCTGAGTTAGGGAACTGTTACTACCGGTCCAGGTCCAGGGTGGTGACAGAAAGGAAGAGATGAATGTCCCAGGCCTCAGAGCAGGGCCAGGAAGACTTGGCAGCTGAAGGGAGGTGGTGACGAGGGAAATCGAAGAGTCTGGGATCAACTCAGTTCCTCACACCAGCCCCTTACATGTCTATGGCCTGACACTGCTTTCATCCCTTTTTCGTAATAAAGGTGCTGAGGTTTGGAAAGATTCAGTTACTTGCCCAAGTCCAGCAGTTTATATTTCGCCCCAGCCGGGTTTTGGACCCAGTCTCTGGCTCGGTCTAGTCCACGGTGTGAGTGCGCATGTGCCAACAGCAGGGGTGAGGATGGGGCTGCCAATTACTCCTTTAGGGCACTTTAATTTAGGTTCACCTCTTCATGTACCTCCTCTCTTCTTCCCTTGCCCTAGACTTTCTCCAGTGAAAAAGAGGTTTAGTACTTATTATCAAAATTGCAGTGGTAACCCTAGATACCTTTATATTTTTAAGCTGTTATGAGAAGGTGATTGAACCAAATAGGTTACAGAAGAGATAGTGCTGCAATATTAAAAAAAAATCCTGAAACAGTTTAATCTCACAGGCATTCATGAGACGTTTTAGGGAACATGACACATCATGGTGAGCATGACTAACAAATGATCTTATTAAGTGTTATTTTACAGAGTCGTAGCAGACGTGTCGAATATCGTTTCAGCACCCCCCACCCCCTCCCACTCTAACAGAGCCCACATTCTTCAGGTGCCACCCTACTCTGTGTGGCCTTCCGTGCCAGGGGAAGCTGGCTCTGGTCCCAGCTCCGACAGGCAAATCCCGATTGGACCAAGGTGGTCATTTTGGTCCCTGTAGGCATGGGCAGGCCATGTGACTCTGGTCAGTGGCGTGTGGCTGGCTATGCTGGGAGCCTTCCGGGAAATGTTTCCTCTCTCCTAAGGAAACCTTCCTCTGCAGGAGGAAGAACGTTCTTTTTCTCTCTGTGCGGTTTGTCACATTTAAATGTGGAGTGTCCCAGTGCCATGAGTAGAGCAAGTACACAGCCAGACATTGCAGGGTGGGGAGACCGAACAGCTGCGGGTCCTCTCTGATGTCACAGAGCCTCCGGCCACTCACTGAGGGGTGGCCCTACCTCCGCTCTCTGTGTGCAGAGTGATCTGTTTAAACTTCCTCGTTGTATAAGCCACTTTTTCCTATTAAAACAAAGTAGTAAAATATACCTATAATGTACCATTTTCAGTGTGCAGCTCAGTGGCATGGAGTACAGTCCAACTGTCCTACAGCCATCACCACCATCCACCTCCAGAGCTTCCACCTTCCGCAGCTGACACTCTGTACCTTTTCAACGTTAACGCCCCGTTCTCTGCTCCCTCCGGCCCCTGGCAACCACCACTCCACTTTCTGTCTCTGTGAATCTGACAGCTGTTGGAGTCTCCGGTAAGTGAAATCGTACAGTATTTGTCCTTTTGTGACTAGCTCATTTCACTTAGCATAATGGCCTCAAGGTTCATCCATGTGGTATGTGTGCATCATCTTAGAATGGAGTTTCTGATATTTGCACCTGAAGGCATCCCAAGTTATAAACCCATCAAGCCAAGGTTTAAATTTTGTCTTGCCATTACTGATTCTTATGTGTGTTGGTTAAGAATATGGACTCTAAAGCCCAAATTTCTAATTTTAAATCCTCATTCTCTCCTACTAGTTGTGTGACCTTAGAAAATTTGCTTACCTCTCTGCCCTTCAGTTTTCCCAGCTGTAAAATGTGGATAATGACGTCACCTCTTGTGTAGAGTTGCCAGAGGGCTAAATAAGCTATTGCATATAAGACATTAAAAAGTGTGCCTGGTACACAGTAATTCTTATTATCATTACTATAGTCCTATGATTGTTATTATTAGTGATGAGAAGGCAGCCATTTGGAGATTTCTCTGAGTGCCGTGCATGAATTTATCCTACATTCAGCCAGCCACTCATAGATAGAAAATCTAGAATGTTTCCCCTGCTCTGCCGTTGTCGATCTCCGTAGAATGAAGGTTCTGGGTCCTCTCTGGTCTTTCTCTTGCTTGGGTCTTCCTGGTCCCATCTGAGTGATATGTCCAGCTTCCTTTCTGTTCCCTGCTCAGTTCTAGAAGGGTCAATCCAGGGTCCCAGGTCCTAAAGGTTCAGTTGTTTGCTGTGGCAGCTCACGCTGTGGGTCTGAAGACCACGAGTGGGCAGTCAAGCAGCCAGATCACCCCTCCATAGCCCCTGGGTGGCGTGGATGAGAAAATAAAGTCAGCTGGACCTTGACTCACCATGTGGGGATCTGAGGAGATGAGATGTGATGAAGGCCTCGAGGTGCACCGAGAGAGCAACCAGCAGGCACGGAAAGCTCAAAGGCCAGGAGGCAGACCCAGACAGCCTTGCTCTGCCCCCCGCAGTTCTGGGGTGGGGGTCTAGCAGCCCCTGTTCTCAACCCCACTGCTGTCATTTCAGAGGTTTCGAGGTGACTAAGGAAAGATGAGACAAAAAGGTCACCTGAAAGAATAGAGGGTGGGGGTCAAAGAAGCAGCTCTGGAAACAGAGGCCGGTGTGTGTATGCGCACCCAGGCACCGTAGGGATGGGCCTTAATTATCCCCATCTGCATCAGGGCAGTAAGAAAAATGCTTGTCCTTATTACATTATGAAGATCTTGTCAAGAATAAGTGTAATGTGCAGTCGATAACACTGTATTATATTTCAACCATAGTCGATTACATTATGATGTGATTTTTTAAAAAGAACAAGTTACGAGTAATTAATACATTAAAACATGCTTTGAAAAGAACAAAACCTCCAAGGTAAGTTGTTATCAGTGTGCCTTTTCAAGGTGCCACGTGGACCCAACCCCATGGTGACAGGAGATTTGCCCCTGTAGCAAGGACACAACTTGGATGTGCCCTGTGTCAGGGGAGGGAGGCCCAGAAAGGCCTTTTAGGAGACCTGGAGGTCAAATCCCCGTGATCTCTTTTATAGAGATACTCACATCTGCAGGGCAGGCATTGGAGTGCAAGGCTGCATGGAAACTCAGGGGCCCAGTCAGACCGAAGGGAACACAGGCTCAGACTTTGACTTTGACTTTGACTTGTGCAAGAAGAGCTGAGAGGGGACAAGGGCCACTAGAAGCAGGGAGGCTGCCTGATAAACTGTATATTTGGTGGAGCAACAAGAAGGAGATAAAAGATGAAAAAATGTAATAGAAGATTTGCTTACATTTCTTGGAATGGTAATTAAATTTATTTATAGTTATGGGAAATTTGGGGAAGGGAGGAAAAGCAATTTAAATGCAGAGTTTTCACAGGACAACTGCAAATGGCTTGCTTTAACAGTGCCTCTGAAGGTTAACAGAATGGCGGGGAGGTCGGACTGAAGTGCATATGATAAGTGACAAGTGTTAACATGGCAAATCATGTATTTAAAATTACTCGGAGCTTTATCAAATGTTGCCTCTCAAAAATAAACTATCCTGGAAGGAAAGGTTAACTGAGAAAAGAGTATTACTTTAATGTTCCTGCAATGACTGGGGGGAAGGGAAAAGTGTTCTGTAATATAGGAGAAGTGGTGATAAATATTAATAGGTTGTTATGTTATTAACAAACATAGTCCAAACTTACACCGAACTCAGAGGAAAAGCAAGTTCCCTCTCCTCTCCATCATCCCTGTTTCCGCGAGATGAGCAGCTTCCCAGTTCACCTGTGGAGTGGAAAGCAGACGTGTGGCAGATGAGATGTTCATGACAGAGGAACAGCCAGTACCTCCAGAGCTGAGACTATCCCCAGTTGGCTTTGGCTGTTAAGAGAGATGCATGGCACCACGAAGAAAAGCATCAACAAAAGGAAAAGACAACCTACTGAATGCGAAAATATATGTGCAAATCATACATTCAATAAGGGATTAATATCCAAAGTTTATAAAGAACTTACAATGTCAAAAAGGTGTCAGAAAAGGTGTGGCTGATTGAAAAATGGGCAGAGGACCTGAACTGATATTTTTCCAAAGAAGACATACGGATGGCCAACAGGCAGATGGGGAAAGATGCTCAACATCACTATGCTCAACACCAGGAAAAATGCAGATCAAAACCGCAGTGAGATATCCCCTCACACCTGTCAGTGGCTGTGCTCAAACATACAAAATATAACTGGTGTTGGTGAGGATGTGGAGAAAAGGGAACCCTTTTACACTGTTGGTTAGGAATGTTAAATGGTACAGCCACTATGGAAAACAGTATGGAACTTCCTCAACTAATTATAAATAGAACTACCATAGGATTCAGCAATTCCACTCCTGGGTGTGTATCTGAAGAAAACAAAAACACTTATTAAAATGTTTTTCTGCAGCTTTATTTATGATAGCCAAGATATGGAAGCAACCTAGGTTTCTAGTGAAGGATGAATGGAAAAAAAAGATGTGGTGGAATATTACTCAGCCATTAAAAAATAAAATCTTGCTGTTTGCAACAATATGGGTGAAACTAGAGGGTATTATATTAAGTGACATAAATCAGACAAAGACAAATATCATATGACTTCACATACATGTGGAATCAAAAAAACAAAACTGAAATAGGGTCGTACATACAGAAAATAAACTAGTGGTTACCAGAGTGGGGGAGGAGTTGGATCTGAGATGGGAGAAATAGGTAAAGGTGATTAAGAGGCACACACTTCCAGTTACAAAATGATTAAGTCATGGAAATGTCACATACAGCATAAGGAATATTGTCAATAATACTATAATAACTTTGCTTGGTAACATATGATAACTAAACTTAATGTGGGGATCACTGTGATGTATACTGAAATGAATAGGATATTTTATGTCACTTATATGTCAATTAAAAATAAAAAGAGGAAGGGGCTTCCAGTCAAGATGGAGGCTTAGGTAAACACCCTTCACCTCCTCACACAATCACAGAAAAAATTACTAAATCTCAAAACAACACCCAGAACCATCAGAAAATCGAGCTGTATTGAAGCTTGACAACCAAGGATTTAAAAAATCCACATTCATTCAGACAGCAAGGAGGGGCAGAGACATGGTGCACCATGGAGAGGTGGTGGTGGGGATAGACAGTCCCACATTTATGTGTGGTGGATAAAAATGGGGAAGGATACCTTGGGAATGAACAATCCCAGCCCCAAGCCAGACTGCACAGCCCAGGGTTCCAGTGCCAGGAAGATCAATCTCCATAACTTCTGGCTGTAGAAACCAGTAGGGGTTGGGGTGGTAGAAGAAACTGTAAGATTTTTAGGAAATGTATGCAGACCCACCCCTTCTGGGATTCAGCACCAGGGCAACAGCTGGAAGGGTGCCACTCACACAAGGTGAGTGCCGGGCAAACCCCCAGAAGCCAGGCAGTAGCATTGTCCCCTCTCCAAGCCCTCCTTCTACACAGAGCCACAAAACAGTGAAGCAGGTTGTCCTACCCTGGTGATTACCTAAGGTTCCACCCCACACAATTTACAGGTGCCTTTTCTATAATAGGCCATGCTACTAAGACAGGGAGTCAAAGCAGCTCTACATAATACACAGAAACAAACACAGGGAGGTTGCCAAATTGAGGAGACAAAAAAAATGGCCCAAATGAAATAACTGAACAAGATCCCAGTAAAAGAATTAAACAAAACGGAAATAACCAACCTATCAGATGTAGAGTTCGAAACACTGGTGATAAGGATGCTCAAAAAACTTGTTGATTATGGCAACGAAATAAAAAAAGACCCAGGAGGAAATGAAGGTTACACTAAATGAAATAAAGAAAAATCTACCAGGAATCAACAGTGGAGGGGATAAAGCCAGGATTTAAATAAACAGCTTGGAACAAAGGAAGAAATAAGCATTGAACCAGAATAGCAAGAAGAAACAAGAATTTTAAAAAATGAGTATAGTATACAATTCCTCTGGGACATCTCCAAATGCACCAACATCCAAATCATAGGGATACCAGAGGGAGAAAAGGAAGAACAAAAAATTGAAAACTCACTTGAAAAACTAATGAAAGAAAACGTGCCTATTTTGGTGAAGGAAATAGACATATAAGTCCAGGAAGTCCTTTCCACAGAGAGGCCCAAACAAGTTGGACCTAGAGAGGACCACACCAAGACACATCATAATTAAAATGCCAGAGGTTAAAGATAAAGAGAGAATCTTAAAAGCAGCAAGAGAAAAGCAGAGTACCTACAAAGGAGTTACCATAAGACAGACAACTGATTTCTCAAAAGAAACTGCAGGGAAGAAGAGACTGGCAAGAAGTATTCAAAGTGATGAAAAGCAAGGACCTACAACCTAGATTACTCTATCCAGCAAAGCCATTATTTAGAATGGAAGGGAAGATACAGTGCTTCCCAGATACAATAAAGCTAAAGGAATTATTACATTAAATATTAAAGGGACTTAATTAAGAAAAAGAAGATAA